GCCCATGCAGAGACCTAAGACCCAGTCTCTCCTTCTGCCTATTCAGGTCTCTCATTCTGGTGAAAGAAATGTCGAACCCATGCAGGTGGGACACACCAGGCTCACCCCAGAGGAAAGACAAAAACGTTTTTTGAGTAAATTATGCATCTACTGTGGTGAGAGTGGACACTTCATCGCTTCCTGCCCGGCTAAATCAAGAAACCTGGGTCCGCCAGAGGATCTGAGGAATCTGGCGGGCTTAACAAACTCAAAGAAATCTCCTCGTCTGATGTTACCTGCCACTTTGTTTTGTGCTAATCAAAGCCTCTCTTTTTCTGCATTTATCGATTCAGGCTGTGAACGAAACTTAATTGATTCAAACCTCGTCCAACAACTACAAATTGAGACTATTCCTCTGACCCAATCTCTTTGTGTTTCTGCTATTGATGGGAAAAGACTCCACCAAGTTACCCATCAAACTCAACCCCTCGAGCTACTTCTTTCAGGTAACCACCGAGAAACTATAACATTTTTTGTTTTTCCCTCCGCATGCTCTCCCCTGGTGCTTGGTTTCTAATGGTTGGAGAAGCATAATCCACATATTAACTGGACTGATCGTCACCTAGAGTCATGGTCTACTTCATGCCATGAGACATGCCTCCGTTCGGCTGCCCCCTTGGTGGGGCCTCCTAGAGGTGGGGGGGAGATGGACTCTCCTGACCTTTCTTCTGTTCCTTCCGAGTACCATGACTTGGCTCCTGTCTTCAGTAAGGTCAGTGCTACGTCCCTACCTCCACACAGACCATATGACTGTGCTATTGAGCTATTACCTGGAGCACCACTACCTAGCAGCAGATTATACAACATTTCCAAATCTGAACGAGAAACCATGGAGAAGTACATTAACGAGTCCTTAGCTGCTGGAATAATTCGCCCATCTTCCTCTCCGTTGGGCGCTGGGTTCTTCTTTGTTGGCAAAAAGGACGGTTCCCTGAGACCATGTATCGATTACAGAGGTTTGAACCAAATTACAATCAAAAATAAGTACCCACTCCCTCTACTCGCCTCAGCATTCGAACCTGTACAAGGGGCAACTGTTTTCACAAAACTGGATTTGAGGAATGCATATCATCTTCTTAGGATCCGAGATGGAGATGAGTGGAAAACAGCCTTCAAAACCCCCTTGGGTCAATTCGAATATTTGGTTATGCCTTTTGGTTTAACTAACGCCCCAGCCTGTTTTCAAGCCCTCGTGAACGATGTTCTCAGAGACTTTTTAAATGTGTTCGTGTTCGTCTATATTGACGACATACTCATTTACTCGAAGAACCTTTCTGATCATAAGAGACATGTCCGCCTTGTGTTGCAGAGACTACTGGAGAACAAGCTGTTCGTAAAAGCAGAGAAGTGCGAATTTCATCAGTCTTCAGTCTCCTTTTTGGGGTTTGTGCTCGAGGGCGGCCAGGTTAAACCATCTGAGGACAAAATAAAAGCCGTGTTAGAATGGCCAGTTCCAGAGAACCGCAAACAGCTACAGAGATTCCTGGGCTTTGCAAACTTTTATTGTCGGTTCATCAGGAACTATAGCCAGACAGCTCTTCCCTTAACCTCACTGACCTCTGTCAAACGTACTTTTCAATGGACACCTGAGGCACAAACTGCATTTGAGAAATTGAAGTCTTTGTTTTCCAGAGCACCAGTGTTAATACAGCCTGACCCATCTAAACAATTTATCCTCGAAGTGGACGCTTCAGATTCTGGAGTTGGAGCAGTCCTATCTCAGAGACTAGACACCGATCAAAGGATCCATCCATGCGCCTTTTTCTCTCGTAGACTTTCATCCGCAGAACAGAACTACGATGTGGGAGACCGTGAGCTGTTGGCCATCAAATTGGCGCTGGAAGAATGGAGACACTGGCTGGAGGGAGCTGAGCACCCGGTTCTAGTATGGACGGATCACAAGAACCTGGCTTACATCCAGTCAGCCAAACAAGCCAATCCCCGTCAATCCAGGTGGTCCATTTTCTTCTCACGGTTCAATCTCATTATCTCCTACAGACCCGGATCCAAGAATGTCAAACCCGATTTTCTCTCTCGTCTTTACTCCGTCGATCAACCTGAGACGCCTGAACCAGTCCTTCCTGCTTCCTGTACAGTAGGAGTGGTTACCTGGGAGATCACTGACCTAATCAACTCCGCCCTGGCTACAGAACCCGATCCAGGTAACGGTCCAGCTAACCGAACCTATGTGCCATCTTCTGTCAGATCTCGTCTCATCCAATGGATGCATGCTGCCAAGTTTTCCGCCCATCCGGGGGTCAGTAGAACCGTCGCCTTGATTTCAAGACGCTTCTGGTGGCCAACCCTTCACAGTGACGTCAAGGAGTATGTGTTGGCTTGCTCCACATGTGCCAGAAATAAAGCCTCACATCAGCCTCCTTCAGGCCTGCTACAGCCTCTTCCGGTTCCCTCGCGTCCATGGTCCCATATAGCAATTGACTTCGTCACCGGCCTCCCTGTTTCTCGAGGTATGTCCACAATCTTCACCATTGTTGATCGCTTTTCGAAATCCTGTCATCTCATCCCTCTAAGGAAACTTCCCACGGCCTTCCAGACCGCCCAGCTCTTAGTGAAACACGTCTTCCGCTTACATGGCATTCCCCAGGAGATCCTTTCGGATCGAGGCCCCCAGTTCATATCCCAAGTTTGGAAGGCATTCTGTTCCGCACTCGGCTGTAAATCCTCTCTGACATCCGGCTATCATCCTCAGTCTAACGGACAAACAGAGAGGATGAACTAGCAGCTGGAATCAACCCTTCGTTGCCTCACCTCCAACAATCCCACCGACTGGAGCCAATATCTAACCTGGATCGAATATGCACACAACTCCCTCAAATCTGCTTCCACCGGCTAATCACCCTTTCAGGTCAGTCTCGGTTACCAACCTCCACTTTTTCCCGCAGACGAGAGAGAGATTTCGGTCCAGTCAGTCAACCATCACATCAGACGTTGTCAGAGAATTTGGAGAGAAACCATCACAACCCTCAACCGATCATCAGAGACAACCAAACGCTTCGCGGATTCCAGGAGACGTCCCGCCCCCGAGTACTCAGAAGGCCAAGAGGTATGGCTGTCCACTCGAGACATTCCCCTCAAGGGAATGTCTCGAAAACTTTCACCCAAGTTCATTGGTCCTTACAAGATTTCCCAGGTCATCAATCCATCTGCCGTCCGTCTTCAACTGCCTCAGTCTCTCCGCATCCACCCAACCTTCCATGTCTCCCAAGTTCTGCAAGTGTTCTGCATATTTGGGTCACTCTCCGTGCACCCATCATGACAAGTACAGTTCATGAAAAGCATATATATGCCAGCAGTTAAATGTTGCTTCCCATAATGAACCAAGGGATGTGATTTGTCCTGTATGTTCATAAATTTCCAACACACCTCCGTCACACACACTTAATCTAACAGAAATTAAGACATTATAATGCAAGAACTATAAGAGCCAACTAAATTGTCGTGGAACTAAGGAGGACTTCCTCAGCTCTGCATCAGCTACTGTCATAGTTATCTCGAAGTGGGCTTCCCACGCCTACACTGCTGTTTGCCACCAGTATTGCACCCAATTCACCATGATTTCATCAGAAGAAAAAGGTTTTAAAAAACTGATCTGAGAGAGATGGGTTTTATCCGTGCCTTAACGGGGTCAGTGGGAGGAGTAGGAGGAAAATTATAACATTTATTGGCTGTCTGTGAGTGTTTACAGTGGTGTACAGCAGGCTGTTCATGGTTCAGGAGTCAGCAGGACAGAAATAAAAGAGACCTATTAGAACGCAGAATCTCCAGCATTAGTCCCTCACACCCCGACCATATCCTTGAATTGATATGGTATGGGATATTGTGATTATTGTGGTTCTACTGATGCTTTATGCAGAGTTTATCATCATTTATTTAACAATCTGTATATTAGCCAATATAAATGGCCATTCAAAGGGTAAAGTATCTTAAGAGTAAGAAAATAGTATAAGCAAAATATTTTTTTAACATTTACTAATTTTCAAAAGTGTTTTTAGCAGCTTCTTTGTATTTCATTTTTAGCCTTAGTCTGCCCAATATTCAGGCCATGGGTTTCCATTATTGTTATTTATTAAAGGTATGGTGGAGGATTTTTGCAAATATTTAAATAGACACGCCCCCTTCACTTTGAAAAAAAATGCACATGCACAATCCTGTACCTGCTCCCAAGATGGAACAGCTAATAAGCGCGTGTGAGAGCTTACTTTCCAAAAGTAGATTTACAATTTTTCCACTATGTCAATCGCACCACCGGTAAGTGAAAATTAGAGGAGCACATAGGATGGCCTTGCGTCAACATATCACCACAATGATTGACAATTAGGAGGACCACTTATTTTGATGATCCACCCAGAAAAAAGAACACCCTCCACTATACTTTTAAAGGTGGCAACCCTAGTCTACTGGTGGCAAAAAAGTAGCTACTCCTTAATTTTGTCGATATCTAGAGTCATAGCTATAACTAATGTTTAAGAAACAAATAGAACTTTGACAAGAAATGCTGGGCGAGGACCAAAATTTAACTTGCCACCATGGAAAGTTTACAGGAGCTTTTTTACCTCTTTTTTTTTTAACCTTCCTAGGTAAAAACTCTAAAACTTAATCATGGAGAAATGCAGCAAATATTGCCAATTTGGGACTAAATCTAAAGAGGATACAAACCCCTGCTGTTCTTGCAATCTGAAATACAGAGCGTGGACCCTTAGCATGGCAGTTTAGAGACCGAGCCATAGGGTTCTACTCCACTACAGATAAAAACCATCAGCTCCGATTTTCTGTGCAGTCTTTTTCATAATGCTTTCTGCAAACAATTATTGATCTCTTAACTTTCATCTATAAATATTTTTCTAATATAAATATTCTATTCTTATTCTAGTTTGATCATTTTTTATAGGTGCTTCAAAGAAAATAATGAGAGATTTAAAATCCTCTAAAATTCCTCTTACCATCCACAAAATAATCCGAATGCCAAAGACCACAGAGGTTAAAGTCGAGCAGAAACCTAAATGGAAAAGCAAAGATATGCCTTAAAAAGACACTTTGGTTACACAAAGAAACAAAAAACGAAGAAATAATCGCCTTTCTGAGCCAAAAAGTTCTAAATTTCTTTAGTAGCAATATTTCTGTAATTAGCCATAAAATACGCTTTACCATTCTTAATTACTTACATCACAGCATTGGAGAAAAGCCATCTCATCAGAGCCAAAATCGTGTAGAATGGCTACAGAAAGGAAAAAATTTGCTTTAATTTGCTAGAATTCAAAGAAAATGCTTCAAGTAAACAATGACAAAATGTTATATTATGCGTTTCAGTGATGTTTAAGCAGCATTTGTTAACAGTGAGTAGGTGCTGAGAGGCAACGATGAGACTTACACTTAGCAGAGGTCGAGCACTGCTTGTATGATGGTGGCTGCTTTTGCACATAGCCTGATAGTCAAACAAAGACACTCTGAAAAAAATATATAAATAAACAATTAATATTCTGTTTGGATGCAGGAGAAGACAGAATAATTCAACTAAAGTGTGTATGAGGAAGTCCTACTTTTTAAACATTCCCATTTTAATCAATGAAGCCATGACAGACCCATCCACTTCACCAAAGAAACGTCCAACCTGCAAAGATCATGGTGTGGTATTACACTTCCGCACAGGAGACTTAAGGCACAGTTCTGTTCAAATGTAAATATTTATATGACATTACAAACAAGGAAGCTGATTGATTTCTTTTTTGTGTGCAAAATAAGCAATATGACTTTGGTTCTTACCAGGGCACTTAATTGCACTCCCAATTAGAATTTTACAAAAAGCAATATTTAACTCAAAGACGCCCTCAGTTTTGACCACATAACGTTTAACAGATGTGAGACCCTGGCTTTCTCATTCCAGCCCTTTTGGTGGCAATAATATGCTTTAAACAGGTTTCCCACCACACAAAAGGGAAGAGAGAGTTGCAGCTAGGCATCAGATCCATGCATGCGAGTAGAGTTAAACACTTTTCCACACAATATTATCATTGACGTCCTGCCACAAAGGACTCTGTTAGTTTTCCAGGTGATGAGAAAAATGAAACCCTGCAGTGAAACATATAAATCTTTGTTGCTAGTGCAAATGAAAGTAAAAAAAAAATCACAATATTTGTTGAAAATAAAAATCCATCTTGATCTTTTGGTTAAATCCTTTAGCCCTAGTTTTTACATTGCTCATATGTAATCAGCAGTCTAAACAGCAATTGTTGCATAAAAAACATGCTAAGAAAGACACGATAAAACAAGAAAAAAAACAGTTTGTGCAAGTCTGCAAGTAGACCAATTTTTTAAAGAGGGAAGGCAGGTTGTAATTGTGAAAAGGTCCCATAAGTCCATAAGTTTCCAGCAAATTAACCTCTCTACACACCATTTTTTGTTCTTATTGCAGATTTCATTAGTGATGTTTTGTAGATGAATTGGAAGGAAGGGTGGGTGCGTGGGGGGATATGCAGAAAATGCAAATGGATATATACTGTCTAGAAAATGCAAATGCAGTTCTTGTGGAAAGTTGTACTTAAGATTTCTTTCCTACGAACCAGAATTGGTCCACATTCGTCACAGGATTGTTAGGGATGGTAATGCTAAGCAGTGTGGAATGCAATCCTCTGAAGTCCACCCCATCTTCAAAACTTTTTGTGGGTTTACCTCCCTGTAGTTCTGAGCTCCCCCATGATGCTGGCATATCTTGTGTTTGTGTTCAGATTCATTAAGTTTCACTGTTCAGACCAATGACAGTTGTGTTATCTGCAAACTTCAGGAATTTCCCACATGTGTTCACCTTGGTACAGCCATTTGTGTACAGGGAGAAGAGTGGTGAAGCTGGAAGCAACCACTAGGATCCTCCATTGTTGATGGTTCTTGAGCGACAAGATGCTGCTCAGCCTCCCTTACTGCTCATGATCAGTCAGAAGACTGAGGATTCACCGACAGATAGAAACTAATGTGAGCTCAGTGACATTTTAGTGACAATGTCACTAAAAAAACCCTCATATATCCTTTCTGGGTCAGATTATACACAAAGATCATACATTCTCACGTCAGGGTTAATTTTTTAAGGATCACATTTGGTGAAAATGTCCAGTTTCAATCTCGGTATTACAGACCGTTTATAAATGTGATTCTGTGACTATATTGCCATTGTATTTTCTGCATGGATCATTTTGTATCAGTTTTGTGAATAAATTATTCTAGAGTTTAGACTTCTTACTACACTGAAAAAGTGACCTTTTTGTGCAGTAAACCTTTTTTTTTTAAGGCTGCACTTTAAAAAATGAAATTGTCTAGAGCTGTTTTAAACAAAATTTCTTTTTGTATACACGCGCGTATACAAAATGAAAAAAATAAATCTGTCTAAATCTAAGTCCATTAGAGTATTCGTCATAATCTCTGCTTTGTATTTTGAAGCTCCAGTGAGAACTAGAGTTTCTGAAGTAAAATGAAACCTTTTTTGTGTAATACATGCATTTTGGGGAAAGAGTAAGTTTTACTTAGATTTCCTTATACTACGGTATTTAAATGTTTAATAGTAGTATGTACATAAACCTAGAAATGCTACATAAACTTTACTCTAAATATACAGTATTTACAGAAAATACACAGGTGTATCTCATATCTGAATATTAAATAAAAGTTTATTTCATGAATTCAATTCATTAAATTATGTTATATAGGTTAAGAGATACTTATACCAATAATGCCTAATAGATCTTCATATTTATTATGACAACTGTCTGCTTGCACTTAAAGACACTTTTTTTCTTAAAATATTTGAATATTATATTAGACCAGTAAAAAATTATATACAGGTGCTGGTCATAAAATTAGAATATCATGAAAAAGTAGATTGATTTCAGTAATTCCATTTAAAAAGTGAAACTTGTATATTATATTCATACATTACATACAAACTCATATATTTCAGATGTTTATTTTGTTTAATTTTGATGATTACAAATGACAACAAATGAAAATCTCAAATTCATCATATCAGAAAATTAGAATATTACTGAAGACCAATAAAAACAAAGGATTTATAGAAATGTTGGCCAACTGAAAAGTATGAACATGAAAAGTATGAGCATGTACAGCACTCAGTATTTAGTTGGGCCTCCTTTGGCCTGTATTACTGCAGCAATGCGGCGTGGCATGGAGTCGATCAGTCTGTGGCACTGCTCAGGTGTTATGATAGCCCAGGTTGCTCTAATAGTGGCTTTTAGCTCTTCTGAATTGTTGGGTCTGGTGTATTGCATCTTCTTCTTCACAATACCCCATAGATTTTCTATGGGGTTAAGGTCAGGAGAGTTTGCTGGCCAATTAAGAACAGGGATACCATGGTCCTTCAACCAGGTACTGGTAGCTTTGGCACTGTGTGCAGGTGCCAAGTCCTGTTGGAAAATGAAATCTGCATCTCCAAAAAGTTGGTCAGCTGCAGGAAGCATGAAGTGCTCTAAAACTTCCTGGTATGTGGCTGCATTGACCCTGGACCTCAGAAAACACAATGGACCAACACCAGCAGATGACATGGCACCCCAAACCATCACTGACTGTGGAAACTTTACACTGGACTTCAAGCAACGTGGATGAAGTGCCTCTCTTCTTTTCCTCCAGACTCTGGGACCTTGATTTCCAAAGGAAATGCAAAATTTACTTTCATCAGAGAACATGACTTTGGACCACTCACCAGCAGTCCAGTCCTGTTTCTCTTTAGCCCAGGCAAGACGCTTCTGACGCTGTCTGTGGTTCAAGAGTGGCTTGACACAAGGAATGCGACAGCAGAAACCCATGTCTTTCATACGTCTGTGTGTGGTGGTTCTTGAAGCACTCACTCCAGCTGCAGTCCACTCTTTGTGAATCTCCCCCACATTTTTGAATGGGTTTTGTTTCACAATCCTCTCCAGGGTGCGGTTATCTCTCTTGCTTGTACACTTTTTTCGACCACATCTTTTCCTTCCCTTCGCCTCTCTATTAATGTGCTTGGACACTGAGCTCTGTGAACAGCCAGCCTCTTTAGCGATGACCTTTTGTGTCTTGCCCTCCTTGTGCAAGGTGTCGATGGTCGTCTTTTGGACAACTGTCAAGTCAGCAGTCTTCCCCATGATTGTGTAGCCTATAGAACTAGACTGAAAGACCATTTAAAGGCTTTTGCAGGTGGTTTGAGTTAATTAGCTGATTAGAGTGTGGCACCAGGGGCCATCAATTTTGAACCTTTTCACAATATTCTAATTTTCTGATATGATGAATTTGAGATTTTCATTTGTTGTCATTTGTAATCATCAAAATTAAACAAAATAAACATCTGAAATATATGAGTTTGTATGTAATGTATGAATATAATATACAAGTTTCACTTTTTAAATGGAATTACTGAAATCAATCTACTTTTTCATGATATTCTAATTTTATGACCAGCACCTGTATCCTAATACCTGTTTAGGTAAAGTTTTTAGAAAATTATCCTGTCAACATGTGTGTTTAAAATGTTCTACCTTATGTATAATTTTACTGTGGCCCTTCAGAAAAAACAGTTTTAAGACACAATATTTAATATTTTTGCTGCACAAACCCATAACTATCGACAATAAATTTTTTTTGCTGGGTCACCATCCAACTACATTTGTCTCTGCCTTCATTTATTCATTGTACAAGCTGCACCTTCTCACATCAGTGGTGTAACCCTTTGATGTTTCCACAAGTGACGGCATAACCTGGAGCACAGCAAACTTTTAAAATCATATTTGCTTCCTAATGTCGGAGGGAATGCAATATTTTCACAAGAAAATAATCCTTTTCTGCAAAAGATTCTCAATGAATTTTCAGATCAGATCATTTAGGTTATTATTATTTTAAACATTACTACAAGGATAGGTTTTCCACACATAACAATTAGTACACTTAAAAAGTAATATTTATCAACCTTTACCGTATAGCTGTCCTGCTGAGTGTGTGTCAAAGAGCTGAAAGATTAAGCAACGCCCTGGGTTAAGGATTAATCCTTGTTTTATGGCTCTTAACAGTTAAATGCAGATGTAAAATGGTGCTTCTGCTTTAAAATGTGCTTATCTCTAGAGATGCTGCACTTTTGCAACACTGCAGTAGAACATACCAGTTTAAAAGACTTAAGAAAATTTAAATTGTGCTAAATTAGCTGATAAAACACTCTATGGATGATATTCATTCAATTTCAAAGTAACAGTACTAACTAATATGTAAAAGAAAGGTATAAATTGCAGATTGGACCTGAATTCCGTAAGCTCAAGAGTTTGCATAATCAGCAAATTCATTGACCTTGATAATAATCTCAAGCAAATGTAGATATTTTCACTTAGAATGTCTTTAGTAGTCCCATGCCTTTATGACTTTACTTTAGTCTCCTTTTTTTAATTTTTAGAGTTTTTAGTAAGCAGAGTTGGGTAATCTAGTCCTGGATCTATTACACTTTAAGGGTTTCTGCAAAGTGGCACATCCCCTTAATGCTCTACCAAGGTCAGCTGAAACTAGGAGGTGCAACAGCTGCTGTAATCACTTTAATGCAGCACAAACGCGTGGGTTAAATCCTAATCTGCTCTTAAATCCTATGAGCCATACAGA